GGATAAAACATCAGGCTCCTTTATCACTTGTTTGCCTTCACCTCACTCACACCCTAAAGCTTTAGTATTGAGAAGGAGTTTGAAAGCTGGTTTGGTTGTTTGGGTGTGTGAAACCATTGCTCAGATAATGGTGCTGGAAACTCCACAAAATATGCCAAGGTTTTTGAAAACCTGACTGCAGCAAAAGGAAGTCCTGTAGGAAACATGTTTTTTTGTAACAAACTTCACACAGTCCAACATGAAATATAATTCAAGCATTCAAAAATAGTTTTATAGTTTTGAGTAGTTATTCCCAGAACAGGAAGTGGTTGCGGCAGGAACCTCTGCCCATTATTGCTTCACGCCCTCCCAATTTGAAGACAAAATGTCAGTGGCTTTGTTCTCATTACCATGGGTGGATTTGACATAGACTCTGGTGCCAGTAAGATTATGCAACAGAACACAAACAATTGATCAGAATGAAAACTAAACCTGGAGATCCCCACATTTCCAGCTCAAATTCTCATTTAGCGTGCTATATGTACAACAAATATAAGTCGTGGAAAAGCCTTTTATTTCCTGTGTTAAATGTAAATCTATTGGGAGGATGTCCATCAAAAGATATAGAACAAAATTGAATTTAAGAAGCTAGTAACAACATCACACTCTTCTGTTAGAAGTGCAGTACACATTGTCTTTACACTGACAGTTATGATTTCTTAATATTTTATACATAAAATTCAATTAACAACAACAACAAAATTACATTTGTAAAGCACCTTTCATGTCTGGAAGATGTCCCAAGTGTCCCAAGAATCAGTGTTCTTCATCCCCACCACATACATGCATATATACAAACAGACAGACAGACAGACAGACAGACAGACAGACAGACAGACAGACAGACAGACAGACAGACAGACAGACAGACAGACAGACAGACAGACAGACAGACAGACAGACAGACAGACAGACAAGTGCATATTAGACTTGCTGTTGAAATATTTTTATCTGTTGGGAGCATAAGAACCTTGCTCTCTTGGATAACCATGAGCTGAGGCTACTGAAAACACTGATATTGCAGTTGAAAGCTTCCCAACAAAGCATAACAAGATCTGTGTGTATAGTACCAGCAGTAGTTTGATTCCTCCCTATAATATCTTAATCTCAGCCATGCAAATCGAGAGAGGCACTGGACTACAGCTATGGAAGGAAAAGTGAACCAAAAAGCACTAGAAAGACTGCTCATATAGTACATCTTCCAGCAAATAGTTTGCTAATCTCTCTCGGGTGAATATGTTGTTGCCAAAAGACAAACATGTAGAAAGTTTAGAATTAATTTATTTTGTTGTGGGTCTCTTTAGAAGCATAAGTATAGCATTACTTGATATGATCTGCACTTTTTTGCTTCTGTTTCTTTTTTTCACTGATGTTTCTCTATTTCACAAGATTGGTTTGGTTGAAGAAGGCCATTCAGTCCATTTGATCTCATCTTTCCAGAAAACTCATTCTCCCATCACAATATCAAGCTGTTTCTTAAACAAGTCCAGCATCTTGGCATTGATAACTCTTCCTCATACCATTATTACTTTACATTTCTATTTTGCTCTCTCCTTCCCCTTTGTCTTCTGCAACTTTTGTTTTGTCCAAACCCAATGCCTCTCACATTATCCCAAAATAGATAATAATTAGCAGCAATACACTGGAACAACACTGTTACTAAACTCTTATACTCAAATACCTTGAGTATTTTCTTAATCTCAGCATTTGTCTGTTCCGACATAAAAATGCACAAAGTGCCATAAGAGCTGGGTAAAATTCCTTGCTCGCCCTCGTCATAAAATCCCATAAAATCCCATAAAGTCATAAAATCCCAATGAAATCAGGAAACCCCATAGAAATGGGAGCCCTCTAACTTGACTTTTTGGATCATAGAAGTTCTTGAAGTGAAACAAAATTCAATGTATCTATAGTTTAAATCAAAACTCATGGCAATCCATTCCTGTTGCCGTGTTTGCATTTATATTTGTACTCGCGAGTGACTTAGAATAAAATGGCATCATAGTCAAACAACTATAACATCACAGAGACGGAGTTGGAATACTGAAATCCTCGAATTCCAAAATTACCTTAAAAAAACCACGATTAACACAGGGATTGGGGAAACCCATTTCAAATCATGGATTACATTATTCTAGCCCGCAAATTAAAACACTTTAGACACGAGTTTGACAGCTTAGGGTTTGTCACTTTTTATTAGCCCCATAAACCAGCCACATTTTCAGATTCAGTTGGTCACCACCGTTGAAAAACACACCGAAGCACAAAAGTGACAACTGCTCCTTTGTGACCATAGAGATGTCCCTTCTCTCCAACCTCTTCGTATTTCAGAACACTCCAGGGGTAAGTCCAATATTTTTTGAAAAGGTTTCATATGTTCCATGACCACAATAAAGCATATTGGTTCACACAGTGGATAATCTACTAAACCCTAAGCAACAGTGTCATAGAATAAACATATCAAATGAGGCTACAGTTAGTTTGTTATTGTGATGTCATGCCAGCGATACTAATGGTCTGTGACTATTTTTATTTGTGGCACTCAACGGATTCTAGATACGATTTGGCCTACAATAAGACACAATGAATGTTATTTTCACAAGCGATGATAACTGTATATCTCACAAGTGCCCCCACAAGTGGAGTTTTATTCTGTCATGCTGTTAACCCCATGGCACATCCTCTCCAAAATATTCTTAATGAAAATTACCAGAAGAAAATAAGGGGAAGGTTAGAAGATTTTATTATTACACAGAAGGTTTTTGAATAGGAACGCTTTACCACAAATGGCTGTTAAGTCCAATGGTTTGATCAAATGGGCTGATGGGCCTCTTCGTCTGAACCAAACTTGTGATAAATACTTGAGAAAAACAACATTAAAGAGGAAGGGCGAACCTTGGGCAAGTTTCCTTACTCCACACGCCATGACTGTTTGTGGGACACTGCTGTGCGCAATTGGCTGCCGCGTTTCGCCCACAAATATACGGTCAATTCACTTTACAGTCTATTCTATGAAGCGCTTTGAGACGTCTAGAGGACGTGAAAAGCACTATATCAAATGCAAGAATTATTATTATTACTATTTTTATTATGTTGAATGGTCAGGGAAATGGGATTAGAAGAGACAGCTCCAAAGTGGTGCTATCACCAACACAGATACAATAGGCCCAATAAGCAACCCTGCCAACATTTTTATAGTATCTTATCACATTGAAACACCTCAAAGTCCATTAGAGTAGATACAAGTAGTAACTGTTTTGTGGGCAAAAGAATGCAGTGCTCTGCCAGTATAGCAGGACTGCTGAGACTCTGAGCTCAAACCCGAACAAGAAGCTTAAATCCACAACCTTAAACATATAGTCTGTTTACTGAAGAGAAACATTGTGATTTGTAATACCTTTTTAAAGCAGATTATTTAAACTAAAAATAAATTGTTGTGCACACATACATGTATTTATTTCCTTATAGATGAAATGTAGTTTACATTTCAGACCCAACCATTAGTCTTTACAGTTGAAGAACATAATGAAGATTTCAACGCCTCTTTGAGCCCTGTTAGTAATATTTCTACAGCCGTCAACAAATTGAGTTGAGCACAGGAATGTTATTGAGATGACAGAGACCTGCAATAGACATAGTCCGTGGACTGGTTCCTCCTGACTGATTACATTTTGATTGAGGGTGAGTGTACATTATCTGTAAATCTAATCAGCCAATTGCATATTTAGTACCATAGAAACCTAATTTTAACGCCTCATTCAAAGGATGACAACTCTAATAATGCAGCACTCCCCGAATATAGCAGTGGAGTGTGGGGCTAGATTGGGAGCTCAAAGCCCCAACTTGATCCCACAATTTTTTGACCCAATGATAAACGTTCAACTAACTGCGTTTCACTCACAAGTATACAGTCAATTCACTTTACAGCATATTCTGTGAAGCGCTTTGAGACGTCCAAATGATGTGAAAAGTGCTATATCAAATGCAAGGATTATTATTATTAAAAGTTGTTATCGAATCGGCTTCCACCACCCTTTCAGACAATGGTTTCCAGATCCGAACAACTCACTGTGTGAAAAAATTTCTCCTCACCATCCCTCTGTTTCTTTTAACAGCTATTTTAAATCGGTGCCCTCAGGTTACAGACTCACTCACCAGTGGAAATAGTTTCTCCTTGTTCACCCTATCGAATCCCCTCATAATTTTGAAAACTTCTATTTAGTCTCCTCTTAATCTTCTCTGCTCCAAGGAGAATAATCCTAACTTCTCTAGCCTCTCCTCACAACTGAAGTCCCTCATTTCTGATACCATCCTGGATCTCCTTTGCACCCTCTCCAATGCCTTGACATCCTTCCTAAATTGTGTTGCCCAGAACTGAACACAGCACTCCCCCTGAGGCCTAACCAGTGTTTTATAAGTTCCCAGTGACAGACTATTTGAATAAATTACAATAGATCAAAATCCTTTGGCATTGTATTATCCTTTCTGTACAGCTGTTCTGTTGCCAGGCATTAACGTTTTATCATAAACTACAATCCTATGTGGCAATGAGCAAGAACAAGAAGAAGTCATTTCTGTTTGCTATCACTTTTCAATCTTTTGTCTGTTATGTGAAAAGAAATTGCTCTCCATTTAGCAATCGAGCCAAGTGATGAAACTTACTCACACCAGGTAACCAAATCTCAGTGCTGATCACAACTGGGATCTGAACATTTCAATAAGAATCCAACACTGTCAGAGTTAATGAGCTACAAAAGGGAGTAAAAATAATGCATTGTCTCCAAACTGCTGCATTTCCTAAGTTTTTATCTTGCATTTATAATGAGAAAAATGTTAAACACTTACTGAATGGTACATAAGTCTATAAATGAACAGTACTTAAACCCCCAAAGAAGCACATTTCATTGTAAGCTATTTTGATTTGTAAATAATTGTTATGCTTTGGTCCACAGAATGCAGGGATGATTTCAGTCACTGAATTTAAGTGGTTAACAGATTCTCAGCCTGCCTACCGTATATTGAAACCATGGTGGGATGTTTTCAGCCACTACATTGCCATGGTGATGCTAATGATTGCTCTGCTTGGAGGAGCACTTCAAATTACTCAGATCAAAATGCTGTGCCTTCCTTGTAAGATGATTTTTGATGACAATTGCATCATTGCAAAGACCAATTTCAGCAATCCAACTGATCAAAATCCAATCGAAACTTCTAATGTTCCAAATGGAGTGAAAAACACCCTTGATAGACAGCAGTATTCCTTCATTGATGCTGTGTGCTATGAGAAACAGGTTCACTGGTTTTCCAAATTCTTCCCTTATGTGGTGTTCGGCCAGACATTAGTTTTTTTAATCTGCAGCAACTTTTGGCTTAAGTATCCAGGTACCAGTTCTAGACTTGAACATTTTATCTCCATTCTTCATAAATGCTTTGATTCGCCATGGACAACTCGGGCACTGTCAGAGGCAGTTGAGAAGAGTGGTGAAAAACAGTCTTTCGGTAAACCCAAAATGCCCTCAAACCACTTGAATGTGAGCAGTATAAATGTTGAGGCCAGTAAATCACTGCAGTATCAGTCCAGAGTGGAACCAAATGGTACTGATGCAACTGACACAAGTATTCTTGACCAAAAAGAGGGTGAACAAGCAAAGGCTATTTTTGAAAAAGTCAAGAAGTTTAAAACTCACGTTGAAGAAAAAGATGTTATATATCAACTCTATATGAGACAGATTATTATCAAAGTATTTATATTCACTATTATCAGTGCTTATGTCCCCTATTTTATACTTCGCATGAAGTTTGATATTATTTGTAAGGTTAATCTACAGGTATTTACAGGGTATCATTGGTATCACTGTGTCCATTCTTTAGCAAACATATTCAAAGTGTTGGCATCTTGCTATCTGGCACTGGTCATACTTCATGGAGTGATGAGTGTTTATAGTCTGTCTTGGATGCTCAGATATTCACTTAAGCAATACTCTTTTGAAACTGTTCGAGAGGAAAGCAGCTACAGGGATATTCCAGATATAAAAANTGATTTTGCCTTTATTCTTCATCTAGCTGATCAATATGATCCTCTTTACGCCAAGCGATTTTCAGTCTTCCTCTCAGAGGTCAGTGAAAACAAATTGAAACAAATTAACCTTAATTTGGAATGGACACTAGAAAAGCTAAAGTATAAACTGCAGAAAAACTCTCATGACAAGACAGAGTTATACCTATTCATGTTGAGCGGGCTTCCAGATGCAGTCTTTGAACTTAAAGAACTTGAAGTATTAAAACTAGAGCTCATACCTGAAGCCAAATTCCCTGCAGGAATATCTCAGCTTACTAGTCTTAAGGAATTGTGCCTTTACCATACACCCGCAACTGTGGATACTCAAGCTCTAGATTTCTTATCTGAAAATCTGAAAACCTTGCGTATCAAGTTCACTGAAATGGATAAAACTCCACGTTGGATATTTAATCTAAAGAACCTATCAGAACTGTATTTGACTGGTACTCTTAAATTAGAGAATAACCAGTTTTTGTTTCTCGATGACATTCAGAATCTGAAGAATTTGAAAACCCTTTACTTGAAAAATAGTCTTCCTCATATTCCAGCAGTCGTTACTGGCAAAGGCCTGCAAATACAGAAGCTGTCTATTGATAATGAAGGCACCAAGCTAACCGTGTTCAATACATTGAAGAATATGCTGAATCTCACGCACCTTGAGCTCCTCAACTGTGACCTAGAACGCATTCCACATTCTATTTTTAGCCTGTTCAATCTACGTGAAATTGATTTGAAAGGTAACAGTCTTAAAACCATAGAAGAAATTATTAGCTTCCAGCATCTGGAATGGCTTTCTTGCCTTAAGCTTTGGCACAACGCTATTGCATATATCCCAGTACAAATCGGAACTCTCGCAAATCTGGAACAGTTGTACCTAAACAATAACAGAATTGAAACGATACCGACACAACTTTTTTTATGCAGGAAACTACGGCACTTGGACTTGAGTTACAATCATTTGACTTCTGTAGGTGATGAGATCAAGTATCTGAAACACCTACAATTCTTTGCCATCACCAACAACAATGTAAGTTACCACTATTTGTTGTCAAAGAAGGTATACGGTAGATAAGTGAATTTTCAAAAGATCTTAAATTTTAGACTCTGTATTTACTTTCCATCCAATCATTCATATATATCTTTCTAATTCTTGAATTTAACTGACTGTGCATATTATCATTGCTAACAATAAAAGCAATTAATTGATATAAATAATCATAAATCATTCAGAAATCATGCTTTTGATCTCTATGCAATGGTTTGCTGCTGGAGGTATGTGTATGAACATCACATTCACACGTCCACAATATGTTTTGAGTAGCAGTCTTTCTCTAGTTTTCTCTCAGACCAGGTCCATCGGCCGTTAATGGGATGGATTTCGTTCTCAACATACATGTTAATGGATATAACATGAACTGTTTATAAACATTAACAGTTATTTTATCCTGATAGGATAAAAATCCACAATATGTTTTGAGTAGCAGTCTTTGTCTAGTTTTTTTTTCAGCAGTAACAATGTTATAAACATATATTCAAAAATGTGACATTTTCATAGCAATGATGTAACATTCAATGTCAACCCTTTCTGTCATCAGTGATACAATTCGGCGGAATTCTCACAGATAATAAATACCCAAGGAATTTCCATATTGTTAGTTTTTGCTTAGAAGTAATTTTTCACCTACCTTTTTTCACTCATGTGCCTACCTCAGCTGGTAGCACTCTCACCTCTGGGTTAGAAGGATGTGGGTTCAAATCCCATCAATACAGTGCTGAGTGAGTGCTGCATTGCCAGAGATGGCCGTCCTTCAGATAAAACATTAATCAGAGGGATTCATGTTCATGCAGACATTAAAAATCCCATGACATTATTTGAAAAGAAAAGGCAATTTTTCCGGGTGCCCTGAACAATAAACTCTCAGAAAATTAGTTAATTTCATGTTGACGGAACATTGCTTTGCTCAAATTGGCTGGTGTATTCACTGACAAGTACACTCACTATTTCACAAAAATTATGCATAAAGCACTTCAAGATGTTCTCGATATTATAGGTACTATGTCAAATACAAGGATTATTATTGTATTAATAAGTGCAGGCAGAGTGTACCCCAAAGCCTGTCACTCTCACTCAACCGTTAAGAAGTGCACACAAAGCAGTTTGGGTGTGTTTTGAGATGATTTTCCTTTTTGTTGCATCTGGAAAGAATCTGTTCAGTTCCTCTCTGCAGTCATTGCACTGAGACCCGGAACTCAATAATACAGGACTCACAGATGGAAACTGCTGTAATGTTTTTAATTCTTTAGCTAGAGACAAGCTTTATCAGTATTCGATAATCTTTACACTTTTAATACACTTTGAAGCCATATCCATTAAATGATGATGGTAATGGTCATTTGCAACTTCTTTCCACTAAAATTCCACTTTTTAATGTTATGTTTATCCTATGCTATGCATTTGAGAAGCAATTTTTATAAACACTGTAAACACAGTAATTAGAAAACAAGACGCAAAATACTGCAGATGCTAGAAATCTGAAACAAAAACAGAAGTCGCTGGGAACACTCAGCAGGTCAGGCAGTATCTATGGAGAAAGGAAAGTGAGTCAACGTTTTGGGTCCACAACCCTTCATCAGAACTGGAGTTCTGATAAAGGGTCGTGGACCCGTTGACTCACTTTCCTTTCCCCATAGATACTGCCTGAAGTGCTCAGTGTTCCCAGCGACTTCTGTTTTTGAATTAGAAAACAAGATTCTTTTGATCGTGTGGTACAGTTTTAACATGTTGTTTGTTTGTAGCTGGAGATGCTACCAGATGGATTATTTCAGTGCAAGAGTCTGCGTACATTGCTTGTGGGAAACAACAGTCTCACAGTGTTATCGTCTCGAGTGGGCGAACTCGTGAACCTTATGCAGTTAGAGCTCACAGGAAACCAGCTTGAGTCACTTCCTGAGGAACTAGAGCACTGTAACCTTAAAACAGGTGGTCTCATTGTAGAAGATTCACTCTTAACAACGCTACCTCTCTCTGTAAGAGAACATATGCAAATATCTGATAAGGAGCAAGCATAAACAGAACTTGTACTAAAACGTGCTGGCTGCAGTGTTTATACCGAGTAGAGATTATGGATACAAACATTTAATGTTATTCAGTTAACAAGCTTGGCTTGTAGCCATGTCCATTTTTCAACCTGTCGGATATCAAAGAGTCACTTACGAAGGAATTTACTGAACTGAAATATAGGAAAATGTTTCTAAGTCATCAAGGGAAGTGATATTCTAAGCAGGAAACAGGAAGAGAATGGAGCAGCGGTCAAGAAACTGTAATGCAAGAGATGTTATGTTGAGTCATTTTTTTGCCCTATTATCAATGACATGGGTTTGTTGGTTCACTTTTTGTGTGTATGTTTGTGGTATTCTTAAAATTGGACAGTAGACAAGTCAGGATGGTTAGACAATTAGAAATTACTGAAATGAATATATTAATTGTTAAATAAAAATAAAGTTGCAGTATCAGAATTTAAATGTTTCACATCCTGTATTTTCTTCCAAGGGCTGTGTGAGTTCAAAGATCTTTATCCCCTATTTCACAATGTTTACTCAGTATTCAGGGAACCATAGAAACTGTCGGGTTTGCTAAAATAATTAGAATGTTGGTTTGTTTCTCTTTAATTTGAAGTTCAGTTACACAATCGGTTTAACTTAGAGATTTTCTGACAATGAGTTAGCTTCTTTTAAGATTTTTACGATTTTGTTAGGATATTTAATTTGATGTCATAAAAAATACATGTTAAATATTGACCTTGCCATTTTGTTTATAGGTTTTAGAACACTGAAACCTTGGAGTCAAAAATAACACTGAAAAACAAAGAAAATATTTCTGTAATTTATGATATATCTTTGGCATTTTCCCATTTCTCTCCTTCCTACTTCGCCTCCATCCCATATTTGCTGCCACACATTCAACAACAACAGCTTGCACTTATATAGTGCTCTCCATGCAGGGCAGCGTGTCAGAATGCTTAACAGTGGCAGTGCCTGACTCCGAGCCGGGGGGTGGGGAGGTAACCGTAAGCACAATCAAAAAGGAAGGTTTTGTGCAATGAGCTGCTGATATAGATTGGAAAATTGCTAGATTTGATTGCTGGTCCGTGCTGAATTAATCAATCTATCTCAGACAGGAGAGCTGTAGAGCAAATTCAGTTGACCTCAATGTAAGAGGGTAAGATGAGCCAGGGTTCTTCCGCCTGACTGCTATCCAGTGATCCCTGCTGAAAAATGTTTAGTGTTAGGCACACACATTGCTGTAGTATCGGGCTCAACTGTTCTCCTTCCCTGTTAAATAGCCTACCAATACTCAGTGCGTTCGCACACGACTAACGGTCAATCGGATGTGCAACATATTGCCATCAGCACATATAATTGATTTTAACAAGGAGAAAACCCCAGTCTTATTTAATGAGAGGCATCTATATAATTGGTATTACAACTAGTCTGATCCCATTTGTCCTAACATTTCCACAGATATATGAAAAAAATAGCTTTTGCAGTTCCAGTGCCTTACTTCATTTTCAGTCTAATAGTTACTTCACCTCGTCTAGTGATATTTTGCCACTCCCAGTTAAGAAAGGCTGGACCTTAGTGCATACGAAATTGGGTGTTAGATTTTTTTAAAATAACATTTTAAACAGTCTCTTGAAACAGAGCTTTAAAGGAGAACAGGAGAATGAGGCTAACATGATTCCCACCTATTACATTTCCAATGCTCAGATGCAAATTGCAGTTCAGAGAAACTACTTCCACCAATAGCATCAGGATCAGGGCTCTAGTGTGACTTGAACCTGCCTCAGTCCCATTTATACCTCATTATGATTTTGGCAAGGATTCATGGTCACACATGCAGCTTAAAGGCAGCATCAGAATGAACTTTATGATATAATAATAATCCCTGCATTTGATATAACGCCTTATCACATCTTCGAGTCGTGTCAAAATGCTTCAAAAAAAAAAGAAAGGTACATTTCTTAGCAGCAATACCCCAATGCCGATAACAGATGGCCTTCAAAAGCTCTGATCCATTTATAGCAAACAAAACCCCAAATGTTTCAAAAAATGTTTGGAATGCAGATTATGAAATAAATAATCCAAAATGTGGAACAGGACCATTAGTGTAAAAAGAATGATGTGCATCCCCCGCAAAAAAAAGACTTGTGTGGTCAGGATGTAAGACAATGCATAATTTAAATATTCTGGATGAGAGCCAACACATTCTCCACTTTTCTATTTCTGGTAAGTTTTTTATTAAAATGTACAAATGTAACAATCATAAAAAAGTCATAATCTCTAAAGTATAAACATGAATGAGGTTTGGTAACATATTAAAAATCTGATATGTATTATTGCTTTTTTAAAATGTAGTGCTTTGTTCTTTGCCTTCTGGAACAAAGTTTTGCTGTAAAATTATCTCTAATTTATGGCTGGTATAAGGTCAATTGCAAACATGCCAATATTTGTCTACAAATACAGTCTCTACAATTTACAGTAGTTGCTGCGAAGCATTTTGAGATATCTCGACGATGTGATAAGGCGTCATATATGCAAGAATTATATTATAATTAATACAAAACTTTGTTTTATAATTCCACAAATTATGATCCCTACTCCTACTCTCCAAACAATACAATAATGCATAACACTGCAATGGTATGTATTGTGTAACATATCACATATAATAATAATCAATGCATTTGATATAGTGCCTTATCGCGTCTTCAAGACATCTCAAGGCGCTTCACAGAATATACTGTAAAGTGAATTGACTGTATATTTTGTGTATAATATACATAACATATATGTTATATTATTGTGTTTCACCCACAAATATACAGTCAATTCACTTTACAGTATATTCTGTGAAGCGCTTTGAGACATTTAGAAGACTTGAAAAGCGCTATATCAAATGCAAGGATTATTATTAATAATAACATCATTATTTTGAAAGATGACTTAGTGACACATCTCTCATGTCAATTAGAGTCAATTCCAGTAACCATGTTCAACTGGCATCCAGACATATGCACTTTCCAGAAGCGGTTACTCAATAAAGATAAGGAGTAGTCAGATTGTTCCTTTCTGTAACTACAGAGGCCAATTGTTGTGTCCCTACTGGTACACTGTCTGACATCAGTCCTGTAGCTCAGTGGTTAGAGCACTCGCCTCGCAAGCGAAAGATTTGGGTTCATTTCCTGGCAGGGCGAAATGTTATCCTTACTCCACACGCCTCTGTAGTAAATAGAAACCCAGTTGTTAGTCGATTGGCAGATCGCGTTTTCAGGGGTAATAAATCCTTCAAAAAAAAATTGGTCACTTCAATCTACGGCTGTTTGTGGAATACTTCTGTGCGCAATTGGCTGTCGGGTTTCGCCCACAATATATAGTCAATTCACTTCGCAGTATATTTGAGATATCTGAAGAAGTGATAAGGTGCTCAGTTGAGATCAAACGCAAGACCTTCCTGTCCATATAGTTTATCTATTTCCTGGATAAACTCACTGAGATATTAGGGAGGCCTGTTCTGGGCATTTTTTCTCCTTTTGGTCTCCTTTCATTGATATAGTCACATAAATATTCTGTTGGAATATGCTGTTTGAAACATTTAATTATTTTCTTCACAACATTGCTCCAGTCACAAACTTTTCCTGAGCATTAATTTCAGAATAAAGTAGCAATGAAGCTTGGTTGAATTCAGAATTATGAATGATCTAGTGCACAAATGATACAACTAAATGTTGATCAATCCTGAACACACGAAAAAAGCACAGAAATAAAAGGTGAATGTTTTTTGGAATTGCTGTGCAAGGAAAATGTTGGGTACCATTTGGAAAGACAAAGTGAGAAATGCTGAAGTAATGAGAAGAAATATAATAATAATCCTTGCATTTGACATAGTCCCTTATCACCTCACCAAGGTGTCCCATAGGACATAGTGTAAAGTTATGTGACGGTGTGTAGTTTGTGGGTGAATCAGAGGTTGAAGTGTATTGTTTGGATTTAAAGACCTACTGACATCATGTCACAGAGAATGGCAAACCAATCGTTAATTTGGAAAGGAAAAGAGCTTTGTCATGGTGACCTCAGGCAGTTATGTATTTCAATGTGATGGACATCATTAGATCATGTGGAAAGAAACACTTCATGAAGTCAATACCTATAAATATTATTGTAAGATCCAGTTTTACTAAGGTAATTACTTTTTTTACCCTGTGTTATAAATAATTTATTAATGCAAAGGAAACGTGTTTTCTCTAAAATAGTCTCTTAAGTTATATTTCTTACATTTGTAGAAGCAGATGAGTGACATCAAGTTGAATTAATACATTTAGATCAATGTGCTGGAAAAAAATGGCATCAGAGTGAATGATCGGGTACCAATGTGCCTTTATATGACAGCCTTTGAGTTTTCCTACTTATTACTTTGGATATGTCTCATTAGATGTCCAAGATAACACATTCTCTGGGCAATTTTGCACTGTGACTGCCAATGTGTTTTTCCCCAAATATGGTTGCAATCCATGTACATTTTGCGCTAGAGCTGATGTTGCTTTTTTTATATATCAACTACGGTATTACCATTGTGTTCTTTGCCCTCACTTTGAAGAACCCAAGTAAGTGAATAAAATCTCCAGAATCTTATAAGACTGTGGTGGCTATTTTCTTCCAGTAGAGAACTAAAAGGTGACAATGCAAGTTGTATTGTTTTCAGCATGAACATATTTAATGAGTGGAATTCATTTTCTAGAAATAATCCTGTGAACCCGAAACAAACAGAATACTCAGTCTTAACTCATGGAAAATGGGCTTTATTCCATTGGTCAACTTGACATAAGTATATATCGCCCTAGTGATACCTGTCTTGTTTTATTTAATTTAAAGCAAGCTTGGTTTAACTTGTCACTACCACTTAAGTCACCATGCTGACAATATCCCAGCCATATTTATTTATGTATTTATGCATATACCAAACTTGCCACTGTCGATAATTCGGCACTGAGCCCTATTGCCTTGGAGTGATG